CTTTTCCAACCTTAATGATTCTATGAAGCAGAATCTGTTTTTTCAGTTTCCAGTCATTTCCCTGGATCAAATTCCAAAATGTGCCAGTACCCAATCCTTGACAAGGATTAGAGCCAACAGAAATGTATAGTATTTAAATTAAAGATGCCTAAAAATTTAACTCAGCAATACTGAAAGACAGCTAAATGCTACTAAAATATAGCTACATGGCAATAGATTTCATGCTCAAGGGAAGTTTTGTTTCCGGTCTCTGTTGGAGTGATTTAACTGGGACTAAGAAATGTCAACTTCTGCAAGGGTAGAGTCTGGTCATTATTGTGCCATGCAACTACATATTTTATGCTATTCCTATAAATGAAAATTATTTTATTCCAGGGAAAACTTATTAGAAAATGATACTGTTTATTATTCTAAACAAGCACATCTTTATGGATAGAAAAAAGAACCAACTATAAAGCACAATAACAGTGTGAAGAAAGGAATGGATTTCCACCACTAATGTGTTTTATCCCTCCTTCTCTTCTATAGGTTGCCCAGGAATGTGGGACAATATTACATGCTGGAAACCTGCAAGTGTGGGTGAAATTGTCTTTGTCAAGTGTCCTGCACTCTTCAGATTTATCATCTCTGAAGACGGTAAAGTATTTTCTCATTGTTCTTTGCCTCTGTCTGGTAAACCTGCATGGCCTGCATGAGTGTAAAACGTCACTTAGATACTCAGTGTAAGGGGAAATCAAAAACTCTACAGAGGCCTGGAGTTGGGCTTCAGTTTAAAAAAGTACTGTAGAAAACCGGAATGTTTGTGAGTAGATATGTGTGTGTGTGTGTGTACAGGGGTGGGAGGGAATGTGTGAAAAAACCTCCACAGACTATACAACATGAAAATATCACCAACTCTAACTGCTGAGGGGGATGTTCTGCCCTTGGGTCTCCACTGAAATCAATGAGACCTGAAACTGTGTTTGGGTCTTGGATAACTAATCATCACAATTCAAACCTATTTTAGAAAATAACTAAAACTCAGAGCTGAGTTCTGCTCATATCTAAGGAGAACAGAGGCATGAGATGACCAATGTGAGGAGCTCCTATGTTGGGAGTCCAGGGAAAAGTCAGTGGGAATTAAAGATTCGTGGGGAGATGCAGAAACTCCATCATGCCTTTTTGTGGTCTGTAGAAATGAGACGTCACCATTCTCCTACCCCTTGCAGCTGGCACCAGCAACCAAGAAAGCAAATGAAAGACCAGAGATTTGGGCTGTTTCTGCTTCCAGCATGCATTGCTGCCTAACAGAGCTGTCCCTTGTCTTGAAAAAAATCCTGCAGATGATCAGCTAGGCTGGTGCATTTTCTCTTTTCTCTCTTTCTGCTACCACTTTAAGCTTGGACCAAAAGTCCCATGCACTCACTATGCTCGATAACCAAATCCTGTTAGATCCCAGCTTCAATCCTTATACAACCCAGCTGCTGCTCCCAAACGAGTTGCTATTAAAAGGAGAACCTACCTTAGTAGTGGTAATACTAAGTTGTTAATATTACTATATTAATATTATTAATATAGTAATTAGTTATTAATATTACTTTTAATATTAC